TTTTTTTTTCATGATTACAAAATAAATACAGCGCCTCATGAGCTCAAGGAAAGGATAAGGTGTTCTGTTGAGCTCTGTGGGTGAGAATATATAGGGGTCATTTAAAATCAACCACACCTGAACAACAGTTCCCACTTAGCTTTTTTTTGTTCAATAACTTTAGCAAATTGCATAATAACAACAACAATAAATTACGTAAATACATGAAATAAATTAATGTTTTCTGAGTTGCAGACCCTTGGAGTACATAGCAGTGAGTTGAAGTTTCTTGCATTGTAATTCATGTGACTTTCTCCAGTATGTCCAGTTTGTCTTTGGGGACAAAAATATGTCAAAATGTAGGTAAAGCTGAGATCTTTCTGTTAAAAACTGCAACCAAATCAATTGTACACCCATTCCAGGTGTCACAATCTAAAGCCAAAGTCTTATTTTTGTAAGCCTGATTTTTACCGAAACCAACTTTGAGCATCAGTATCATTGGATATGTCATAGTTTTTATGACATATTCTTGTAAAAACAAGCATTGGTACATTGGGTTTGTTATCTGTTTTCTGGTAATTCACTAGAGAAAGTTCAAAAAGTAACATTTTCAGTGCAACATGCAAGCATCATGTTATTATGTTGGATAGATGATTGGTCAAAACATCTTAGAAGATATTAAAAGTCCAATTTTTACCTGCATTTTCACATATTTTTGTCCCCAAAAGACACTCCAGGACTCGATTCCAGGAGTTTAATTCACAGTAATGACCACACTTATCTCATTTTAGGCAAGCACATAGCTCACTGTTACCAATGACCTGAATGATTTTCAATGCTTCGAGAAATTGCACGGTCCTGAGTGTTGGTTTTCAACGATTACAAAATAAATATAGCTCTTCATAACAGTTGAAGAAAAGTGTTCGGCTGTGCTCTGTGGGTGGGATATGTTTATACGTGTGTGCCACAGAAAATAGTTAACTGACAGGTGTTGCATGGGCGTCATTCTCTATAAAATCAGTCTAACCTTAGCTGTCTAATGAGTACTTCCAATGCTGTATAAGAAGCAAAGTAAATGTAACTATTGTAGTGTTTTTGCTATCAGTTTAATTCAGCATCCTCAGACATTATATTAACATTAGATGATACCAAACTTAGCTTTATGTCCAACCAGGTGGAGGTTGGGGTGGTGGACGGGTGTGCGTGTTTTGTGGATATCTGCAAGCAAACTATGACAAGCTGGAATTCCAGCTTCAAATATCCTCAGACTCCTCAAAAATCAGGATATCTTTAATTTCCCCTAAATTCAGGATATCTACATTGCCTTTTATAAATGTCTTATGTTTAAACTAGTCCGAATGATGTCAAAATGAAATCTTTTAAACCAAACTAGAGTTTTGACTCGCTGAAATGACATTCCAGAAACTTGTAGT